CGAGGATAGGGGCAAAGAGAGGCTGGACGGGTACGCTCAGCAGGATTGGGAGATTAGCGAATCACCCCCGCAATTGCCCTGGTATAATGCTGCTTTTTGAGTCTGTCTCCTACAAAGAATAGGAGGGCTTGAGAAAAATATTAGGAAGCTGACAAATTTCAAATTTCTTAAAAAAAAAAAATTAATCAGTTCCTTCCGAAAGCCCGCCGAAAGCCCAAAGCTGCATGTGATTTCACTTTAGAAGGGCCATGGCGATACTGATGGAGGAAATGCATTTGATCCGGAGCTGGGTGGAGAACTCCAGGCTGGTGCAAAGCTCCCCCTGGCCTGGATATTCAGGGGCTTTAAATGGCTCCACTTCTCATCACGTGTGTATGGAGAGCGAGTGAGGGTCTGCCCTCTGGGGCTGGAGAGCAGCGCAGTCTCCTTGGATGGTTTTGTGTCGTGTAAGCTCAGCCAGGCTCGGTGCTACTGAACAAGAGTCCTCCTGCAATCGCCCCCTCCGCGTGCTGCCCGTGCACACGGAGCTGCACGCGGAGTCTGCGTTTCATACATCCAGAGAGTGGATTGCTGATGCGCATGTATTTGCTGCAGAATGAACCACCATGAGCGGCCAGAGCACGCTTACCACCATCTGTTTTCTCTCTGTGCGCTCTGCATTGCCTGAATTCCGTTTGGGGAGTATTTCCCAAACCGGCCCTGGGGCTCCTGCACTCGGCCAGGTAGGACGGAAGACAGAAAAGGAGGACGGAGCCCCTACCTGCGCTCAAGGGGCTTGAAGTCTAGTTGCAGCCCAAGACTGGTCAGCCCAGGGCGGTTGTGCTCAGGCTGAGTGCCTAGTGCTTCCTGCTTCGCAGACACGACCACTTGGGGCTCTGCCGCTGCGCTGGGTTCGGGCCCTGGGGTAGGAAGCACGACGCGCCTCCCGCCCCAAAGACCTCTACCTCCTCATCCCTGAACCCGTGCATACATTTCCTCACATGGCAAAAGGGACTTTGCAGGGGTGAGGGAGGATCTGGAGATGGGAAATTATCCTGGGAGAGCCAGGTGGGCCTGTAATTACAAGGGTTTTTATACATGGAAGAAGGTCAGAGTCCGAGGAGATGGGACAAGCAGCCATTGCGGACTCTGAAAATGGTGGGGGCCACGAGCCAAGAATGCGGGCGGCCTCTAGAAGCTGGAAAAGGCGAGCAAAGGGACACTTCCCTGGAGCCTCCAGAAGGAACCAGCCTTGCTGACTGATGCCTTGACTCCAACCCAGTGAGACCCATTGCAGACTTGCGGCTTCGAGAACCTTAAGATAATAAATTTGTATTGCTCGAAGTCCTCAAGTTTGTGGTGATTTCTTACAGAAGAGGAAACTAATACGACACCATTACCCTCCTTCTGCTGATGGGGAAGCTAGAACGCAGTGACGTTAATAAGCTCAAGGTCACACAGCCGGTGCGAGACAGTGCTGGGATTGAAACCCAGCTGCGTTCCCTTGCAAAGCCCAGGCTCTCTGAAGCACGCGGTCCTCCATTCAATCTAGAACAGGTCAGTGAATTACAGGACAGCACAAGGCAGCCCATCAGCAAGCGTTCAAGTAAAACAGACATTTCGTGGCTTTTACATATGCTATTCTCAGCTGAGGATCCCAGGGAGTTGGTGACATTTCCAGAGCAAAAGAGCTTCCCAGTCTCCAGCGGGAGGAAAGGGCCCTAGTTTTCCATGTGTTTCTGTCACGCTCAGCCCCTCCAGGGGGCCACTGAGGAAGCGGACTTGGTGTCCCAGGACTGGAGGTGGTGGTAAGTGCCTCTCGCAGTGGCCCCAGGACAAGAGAACTCATGAAATCAAGGTCCTGGTTCTGCCTCCCCATAAAACGGCAACGAAATCGAGATCCAGAGAAGAAAACACCGTGTTCAGGGAGATCTGGGTGCAGATCGATTGGCAATCAAATCCATGCTCCTCGTGCACTCCGGGGGAAGGGGACGGGACCGGGAAGCGGGGTGAACAGGCACCTGTGTACCACGCACTCCGCTAGGCCATTCGTAGAAGAGACGTCACGATTTTAGCCACTAAGCTAGGACACAGCAGTCACCATTTCTATTTTGCTCTGAAGTTAACAGGCTCAGAGCCTTGACATATGTGACATGATTAACAAACCTTGTAAAGTCTGCAGCTGAGAGATCTGAACCCATGTGGCTCTAACTTGAATACCTATACCCTCTCCACTCGGATCCTCAGTGGAGGAAAGAGCGATCCCCACCTTTGGGGTTTGAGGTGCCTCAAAAGCCTGCTCGCGTACCTGCCTTTTCTCAAACTGTCGCCGTCTCGGAGGATCTCCTCACTGTTATCCAGGACTTGAGGAGGGCAGGGTCCCTGGGCAGCAGGGCCAGGAGGGACACACACGGGAGGTACCAGGATTAGGGAGTGGACATGGATCCCAGGCCCACGTCCAGCTGCCAAGGGGCCTGAGGTCAAGGTACCTCCAGAGAGTGGAGGGGAGAGCACTGAAAGACGTGTCTCTCCAGCTGCACAACCCTCTTTCAGGCTGACCGGGATCGCAGAACGCACTCAGTTCAGCTCCTTATTAGCTGAGCAGACTGGCCTGTCCACCTTGGGTGAGGGGATTTCTCCTCAAAACTCCTTGCAGTGATTTGCCATCTTCCTCCGCGCCACCTTTTCCAAAACACGATTCGTGTCTGGGGAGAAAGCAGATGCACGAAGTACTGTGTGATCACCCGCCCCTCTGCAGGAGACCCAGTGGGCATCTCCAGCCTCTTCGGCAAGGAAGCTTCCTGAGAAGTGAGATGCTCCACTTAACACAGACTGCTAAAAAGCAGAACCACCGGGACCTCGAGAGAGATTTTCAACATGGGCTGTGCCCGCTTGCTTTTTGTTTGGGGAAGGTACAAAGAAAGACCAAAAATAAGCAGATCAAAGCCAGAAGCGATTAAGATCTCTCTTCATCCATGCGAGAACTCTGGAATTACATTAAATGCCTAAATATTCGGGTGGTCTTGGGTGTGAGAGTGGTGGGCGGCTCTGTGAGGTTCAGTGCGGCCATGTCGCGGGCAGCTCTGAGAGCGTGCCACCCAGCGGCTCCCAACCGCAGGCCCTCGGTGGCTGTCACAGAGGAACACGGCGCCACTCAAAACAACGTCAAAACAACGCTTTCACTTTGGTTTATGTTTAAGACGTGTTGTGGACAGTTCTGTGGTGTGGCCTGGCCATGCTACCCTCTCATGCACCGTGAAGAGAACAAACAGATATGCTTTTGGGGGAACGGGTAATCCCTTTGACTCCACATTCCCCCTTCCAGGAACTTACCCGAAGGGGAAAAACACAATCAGCGTAAAGGCAAGTCTAAAGATAGCCATTAGGGTGTCGCAGTGAACAATTTTAGGACCTAAACGATCAGTTCTATCAACCACATAGAGTCCTTTATCGTACAGTTCTTTAACATGATAATATATAATAGTTGACATAGGGCATGTGCCTAAGTGGAAAGGAAGTTATAAAACTGTATCGAGAGGACAAGTTCAGTTTTTACATATCTTTATCCGCCTAGACATAGTCTTGGGAGTATTCATTAAAATGTTGATACGTGTGGGATTCCAGGTGACGTCCGTCTTCCTTTTAGTATTCTGAGGGATTTTTGCAAACCGCATTTCCAAATCCTATGGTTAAAACACCGAAGTTTCAAACACACACAAAATCACTTTTTGAAAAACTGTTGCTCCTTTCTGAAAAAATGAAGATTCAACTCCAAAACAGAAATACGACAACTTGTCCCTGGCGGTCTTGCCAGCAAGAGCACGACTCCCAAGACGTTCAAAAAGTACATCCCAGCTGCTCAACTGGCAGGTTAGAACAAGCGTCACTTCGGGAATCAAGAACGACAAAATCAGTGCCCACAGAGGTGTCCTGAAAACAAGGTTGCCGGAAACGCAGAGCTTGAGCGCGAGCCGATGGCTCGGACAGGTGTCTGCAGGTGGGGACCAGCCCAGGCCCCTGCGGTCACCCGGGGCTCCTCCCCACGGCATCTCCCCACAGCTGCAGGTATCCTCCTGGGCACTCCTGACAGTGAATTCTCTTGGAAAGTCTGCTTCATAACATGCTGAGACTAGGGTTACCTTTGAACTCACAAAAGTAGGAGTTCTTATTAAATTTGAATAAAAGTACCTGAAGAGATTATATAAACTATATACCATGTTATCCAAATGCAAAGAGATACCATGACCTTTTCATTTTTAGAAATCGTTAGAAGCTTTCTCTAAGAGTGACATTCAAATAATCTGTAACTCAAAGGGTCATTTGAGCCTTTTCTATTTTCAGAAGGCACTTTGTATCTGAAAGGACATTAATGATGTTGGGGCCCTGAGTGGCTTTCATGGCAAAGTAATTATGTGTACAAATGCACTGAGCCTTCTAACATAAATTAAGATCACTGATCTGGGCAAGTTTCCGTTTGTGTCACACCACCACGTTGGAATAGCATATTTTCAGCTTCAGCCTATAAAAATTTTGTTCCAGTTAGGCAAGAATTTTAACATATACAATAGTACTTTTCTTTTTTAATACACTCTAGGATCAATATAATCATGGATTTCTCTCACGTCATCACTTCACTGTTTGGATTATTTCAGAAATCAAATTAACCGTTGAAGCAAGAAAATTTCTAGCAGAAGAGATGATTGAAAATAAGTGAAAGCCACGTCACTGAATGCCTGCTATGTGCAAGCATGGTGCTCACACCTGAAAACTTTAACCTTTACAGTTCTGCAAGGTTGGTCTCACCCCTATTTTACAGATTTTTTTTTTTGAAGATTTTTATTTATTTGAGAGAGAGCAAGTGAGCACGAGGGGGGGGGCGGGGAGAGGGAAAAAGCAGGCTCCCCGCTGAGCAGGGAGCCCAACTCAGACCTCAGTCCCCGGACCCCAGGATCATGTCCTGAGCTGAAGGCAGACGCTTAACTGACTGAGCCACCCAAGCACCCTATTTTAGATTAAGGAAGAAGAAAAGGCTTAAAAAGTTTGAATGACCTGCCCAAGTTCGTCCAGTTAATGCTGGTGCTGGAATTTCATCTAAGATCTCTCAGAGTTCAGAGCCACGCCCTTGGCACTGTTGAAGTCACACCTCTCATTCAGGAAACTGTGCACGTGCTGAATCAGTCAGGGCTTGCGTCACCTGTGACCCAAAGCAGAGAACAACAGAGGCTTCGGGACGGGCGAGTTTGAGTTGTCTGCGGTGCAGCGGTAGCTGGTCCAGGGCTGCAGGGTCCCTGTGAGGCGGCAAGAACAGAAGCTGCTGTGTTCCTGTTGCTTGGCCCTGGGAGGACTCGTGGTGCCAGGCTGGGCCAGAGTTCCAGCCACTACCTCTTCGCTTAAGCTGGCCAGAGGAAGGACACCCCACATCTTGAAGGACATGTCCCAAAAGTCGTTCAAGCCACTGGCCAGAAACGACACCTCGCTCCCAGGGCAGCTGGGAAGGTAATCGCATTCTAGATCAGAGCTAAGGGAAAAAGGGGACTGAGACACTGGTAATGGCCTCTGCCACCACGTGCTTACAGAGCATGCCAGGGATCAAATTCCCTTGTGTGACGGTGTATCTTGCTGGCAAGAAGGGAAACATTAACTCGTATTTCTCTGGATGTTTGAGTATTTCATGAAAACCAGTAACAAACCCTCACTACCCACCATCCAGAATGAACAAATGCTAACATTTTCCTTCGGATCTTAGAAACAAGTGGACTCTGATGAGGCCGCTCTGTTGGCAAAGCCCACTTCCGTTCCTCTCCCGCCCTTTCCGGGGGGACAGGGGGCAACTACTTTTCTGAACAATGTTTCCCAGTGAGGTTGCTGTGCTTTCTCTTCATAAATAACAACAGTGTTTTTTAAAACTTATAAATGACATTCATTTCATCTTCTGACAGCCTATTTTCCTTCAATACATTCTCTGCCTTTCAAGATGACTTCATAATTTTACTGTACAATAATATGCGATCAGTATGCCCTCTTGTTCATCAGTATTCCTAGTCTTATTACAGCCAATTCACCTAGTTCTAATCAGAGGAGGGTGGCAAGTTTTCAGACTAAGCCTGGGAGAAGAGCCCAAAGACCTGGCTGCTATTTCCCCTGAAGGGACAAGAAAGGGACAGGTGGGGGGGTGGGTATGACAATTAGGAGGAATTAGAGATAGAGGTTAGAGAGAAACAGAAAAGAAGAAGATAAAGAAAATCTACTTATGGGGCACCTGGATGGCTCAGTCGGTTAAGCGTCTACCTTCGGCTCAGGTCATGATCTCCATGTCCTCGGATCGAGCCCCACATCGGGCTCCCTGCTCAGCGGGGAGTCTGCTTCTCCCTCTGCCTCTGCCCCTCCCCCCACTTGTATTCTGTATCTCAAATAGAATCTTTAAAAAAATCTACTTATATCTCTAAACGAAGAAAAAATTAAAATACAATGCATATTTTCAAGTCCATCACACGGAATGATCCACATGCTCAACACTATCCATGAGGCTTTCAGAAAAGTCTTTGCCATCAGAGACTCAAGTTTTAGAGCTCATACATAACTGAAGATTCCTTCACTTGAAGATTCAAGGATATAAGGAGAGAGCCTCACTGAACACAGAGTATATATGTTAAGCTGTTGAGTTCAAAGTTACTCTCAAGACCAAATGTAAAAATTGCCTATATAATCCATCCTCATCCTAAAAATGGACTCATCACTGATCCATATACTTGACCACACTCACTTTCGACCATTCTCCGTTTTTCGAGTTAATATTCATCTCTGCTACAGAATGGATGGCATAAATATCAGCCCTATGAAAAAACTTTTATTAAAAAAGTTTTCCATAAATGATGAAAAAAAAATTAAGAACTTCTGAAAATAGTGAAGAAAAAAATCCCAAGGCAGAATATGCTTTGTTAAATCTGAGCCACCCGCCTCCTGGATCCGTCACGCTTTATGGCCAGCACCGTGCCAAAGGAGGAAGTGCCATATACATTGATTTGCTTCCACCTCCACAATTTAAATCAGAGCAAAACACCAAAAGATATATCTTATTGAGAATTACCTATAAAATCTCAAATTAAATCACCATGGTTATACCCTGAGATGCTAGTCTTGAAACATAACCATATATGTTCAATTAGTTTCTACCTACCACTGTCCTTGAGGGAAAAAATACAGTAATCAACAATAGGTTAAATCGAAATAATTTAAAAATCAGAACTGGAGTCATGGAATCAGGTGAGAAAAAAAATCTATGATGATTTTAAAACAAACTGAGTCTTTGACAGATCATGAAACAGAATACAGAAGCACTGAATCATATAAAAATACTACGTGAAATCCACAAAATAAAACAGAAAGGAGCATTTGTATGTGTTAAAATAATTTAATTCTCCCTGTACATTTCTGTCCATGTGAGCCAAGAGAAATCAAGAATGTATACTTTACAATATGTACCTGTTTTGAGACATTCAAGTCAATTCAGATGGCAAAGTAGAATTCAATCACTAATGAAATGTTTAAAAAATATATATTAAACAAAAAAAAATGTTTTTACAAGATAAAAAATAATCTTCCACAATGCAATAAATTGCAGATCACCGAAATTTTAACTCTTTAGATGACTTCAGTTCAGTTTTTGGTTTCAAAATCTAGAGACAATCAAAAAGAAAAAAGCGTTGGCAGAATTTCTATCTGTTTTTACGTTTCTCTTTCTTACTTCGACTACTTGTTACACTGTTTAAAGAACATGATGAAGGGGCTCTTGCATGACCTGTGGCCTTCAGATGGTCAAAAAGTTTATTCCGGGATGGAAATTCACTATGGCAGGTTGCACAGCTGATAAGAACATCACTCTGAAGAGGGAAAAAAATCATAAATAAGAGCAAGTGTTATTAACTGAGAGCAGTGATTTAGGTTTTCATGTTGAGATCAACAATCAAATAATTCAAAACAAAGACCTTTTAACAAAATGACGGCCATTAAGACAGGCTCAAAAGAGGCAGCTGTTCATAGAAGTCCCATCAACTGACTCCATCAACTTTAAGAGGCCTGAGACATTCAACAGTATGCACCGTGTGGACTAGACTGAGGCCTTAGATTTCAAGGTAACAGAAAACTGAGCAGTAACTGTTCTGTTAGCCTGCTATTCCCAATGTGCCTTTTACTTTTACAGAACAACGGTAATAGGAGCACAGATACAAATTCGACATTCGTCAAGAAACACCGTTGGTGGAGCCCCACCTGTACAGCGGGTGCAGAAGGGCTCACCAAAACATCTTCAGAATCCAATTAAGAATTCAGATTATAGTGCTGAAACAAGGTCCACTGAAAATATGTCAATATGACTTTGACCTACCACTGTCTGTGGTTCAGCAGGTACTTGGACAGATTTCTTCGTATCTTTGGCTTTCTTTCCTTTGGGTTTAGGAGCACTGGAAAATCAATCATAGAATTCTTACAATCCAATAATAATGTATATATAATAATGTATCCCTTTCAACTGTTATTTTGCTCCCAAGAAGACTCAAAAGAGTGACATGCACTTTAAAGGCTAACTCATTAATTTTAATGGCCAACCTAATTAGTTTTCACATCTTAAATGAAGAGCTTTCAAGAGCAACTTTAAATCACAGTAGATGTCAAATTTGACACCAAAACTAAGGAATTTACTTAAAGAGCTGAAACACAAGCTACGACACGTTACAGGACTGTGCGGTTCCCTGCCCTCCTTCTCCCAGAGCTCCAGGCCCAGCTCCAGGCCCAGCTCCAGGCCCAGCTCCAGGCCCAGCTCCAGGCCTCCACCACCGTCTTTGCCCCATTGACGCCAACTCCTAAACGCCCACGTGCACTGCGCCGCCCCGTCGCTGCTGCTCCAATGGTCATAAGCGCTGGCAACTCAGGCTCCCACTTTACTCTGTCATTTGAACTCTTCCTCACGGTCCTAGACAGGGACCTGACGCTACTTACTGTTCAGACCTTTCCTCGAGAAGTAAGCTCTGGAGGAACAGAGGCGGCCGGAGACAAGAAAGTAAGACAAGGCGGGAAGGAGAGGACCAGGAATGCTCTCTCCCCCGAGAGAGACCTTCCTCTGGCCAGCCACTGTGACCCTGTGAGGCAAGAACATTCCGGGGCCCCTGCCAGCAGGAAGGCCCCAGGCTGTGGGTACAGATCCTGGTGACCTGCACTGTGGGGGCCCAACACAAGACGGCAGCCATGAGCATGGACACAGGGTTCTGGATGCTCCAGACAAGTGGGGCGCAGCCTCATCAGGAGACTTGTTCTCATGTGAGTGTCAAGGATTACTGATCTAGGATGAAATAAGGACCTCAGCAGGATAGAAACTAGATCAAAGTGCCTTTCTGATTCGGGCCATGTTGCTGAAATGTCTGTGACCACATTCCCCTAGCATCCTCTTCCCAACACACTTCGTCTGTATACAGTGGGATGTCTGTCTGGATAAATGTACAAGTCACTGATACACCTGATCTGCTTCATCAATCGTGGGAAAGGTGTTATTTGAGATATGAAAAAATATTTTCCCTACCAACATTAATTAGAAAACACCATCAACTTGACTTACTTCTTAGCTTCACTTTTTGGATCATCACAGAGTTCGACAGTCTTAGTGACACGGATACTTTCTTGGGGACTCCCATCCAATTCTTTGGCACGGTCTTGATTTAAGTTGGTATCTTCTGATTCAACCTTTACTTCTTCTCCAGTTCCATTTTCATTGAAATTATCATCATAATTCTAGGTAATAAAACATGTATGCATTACAAAATAAATAACAGTAATAATCCCAGCTTATGATACCAAATAATTATACTAAACAATTACAATGTCCTGTACGCTCTGGAGGAGTAGATCTTCAGGAAGTAAAAAGAAAAAGCAGGTAATAATTTAAAAACATGAATGCTCATTACAGAAATATTAGGAAAAAACTGGAAACAATACATATGTTCAATAAGTGAATGGTTGAATTATGGAGGGAATTATGAAGTTCTTAAAAATCATGTTTGCAAAGACACTGATTCAATTTTGTGGAAGAGTACTTACAACATATTAGCTAAAATATAAAAGAAAATTATACATAATGTCTGATTACAATTTAATTCTAAGTAGTATCTATTGGCAGAATTAGGAGTGATATTTATAGTTCTCTATATTTCCCAAATGATCTGCAATGAGCACCTATTACTTTTGTAGTTAGAAAAAAAAAAAAAAACCCAGCAAATAAGCATTATAGAAAAGACAAAGCTTGGCAAACATACCTTCACTCCGTGAAGAGTGTTTGTTGTTGTTGGTTTGGGTTGGGGCAACATCTTGCCACATTTGCTTTCCCTTCCCTTCCTCCCTCCTCTCAGCACACACACACCCCACCCCCATACCCAGAATGATGAAAGTAAGTTACAGATGGATATCATGACACTTCCCATGTGTCTCCTAAGAACAAAAACACACTCCTACATCCCCACAATACTCTCTTCATACTCAAGAATTTAATGCTGATGTGATCTGCTCCATAATCCATATTCACAACCCAGTAACATCCTCTCCTTGTGAGCGACAATCAAGGACCATATGCTGCGTGTAGTGGTTATGCCACTTGAATCTCCTTTGTTCCAGAACCACAGCCCTACTTTTTGTCTTTCATGATATTGACAATCTGCTGGCTATTCTATTCCACAGTCTGGCTTTGTCTGATTGTCTTCTTAGGATTAGATTCAGGTTACACATTTCTAGCAAAAATATTAGCACCAAAATATCTATTAAATTCAAGATTTATTTTTTTGCAGGTAATTTTGTCTTTGGAATGTGTCCCATGGAGGGTGTTCAGAGTACTGTGCTCAAAGATGACTTAAATTCCTCCTTTCTGTCAGCCAGGGTCCTCTGTTTACATTCAATTTCAGTTTTCTGGGTTTTCTTTTACCATCCTGTTGGGTTATGCAAATTTTTTTTCTGACCATACAGAAAACTCTCCCAGTCTGAAGTTTCCTGATTCTCTGTATTTGCTGCTCTTCAATCTACTAGTTCACGTCTCCACGCTACCTTCCCTTCAAAAAGAACTGAGAAAACATTGGGAAAAGTGCTACATACAACTAGGTCTGAACTGGAACTTTCTTCCTGATAGAATCAGAAATCATCAACAAAAGGTATTACTATAAAGGAATACAGCTTTGGAGGGGAAAAAAATGGGGTAGTAAACGAAGCATTTTCATTGGTAAGGAAACACAAATACATGTGTTTATTACTGCAATCTATAGGACCTACCCTTCCTGACTTGAGACAAGATAGGCTTGGGTTAGGTATAAATCTCTCTTATCTTGTGTTTATTCTAGTGGTTCTGGAGAGAGGAAATGTTCTAAGCTAATGACTATAGAGTCTCTGGGTAGAAGACGGTATGAGTCATTTTAAAAAGGAACACAGAACTTGCTATGTGGTTTTATAATTGAAACACAAGTTCCAAGTCACAAATTTTAACAGTGATAAGTTCATGTATCATGTATCATTTTTGGAATATGAGACAGATAAAAACTACTTTCAAATATATAACCATTTAAATAGCCAAATCTAAAGTTTTACAAAAACTTATTGTGTTAACTAAATTTTCTTAAAAATATTTTCAGTTTTCAAAAAGAACTGTAATATTTAATACTTAATATAAGCTAATATAATGAGATTATATTAAATAGCACAGAAATCAATTCCATTCCCTTAAGAACCACCAAATATCCTTAGTAAAATGGACAAGCTCGTTGGGTGTTTATACGTCTACAGGATTGTTACACATATATAACATAATAACTTTTTATTTAAAAATATTCTTGAGATTGGATTTAGACGCCAGGTGTGAAATTTTAGCTACTTACATTTCTGAGTAATACTAAGAAACATTTTTTCAAGACTCATAATCATTACACATTTCTAACCAAACGTTTCTTTTGCAAAATTTCATTTGTTGTTGGCAAAAGAAACCTAGATATACAATAATCAACCCTCAGATTTTCACATATTTCTGATTTTAACTGTTATCTTGATTTAAAGACCCAGTCATCACATGTGTCCAGATATTTTTTTAATATGATCACTCAGCTAATTAGTATCTGGGAATTAATTTCATTTGCAAAATTTTAAGACACATCGACGACAGTAATTAAGTAAATTAGCTACATACATATTAATGGCGGTAAAATGATGAAAAAAGAAAATTGTTTTCAACTCCCTTCAATCTGTTTTATAATCAACATAAAATTATAGAGTGAAAAATCCCTTTCCTTAATACAAACTATACTGAGTAAACAAAAGCAGTCCAACTTTATGTATGATATTTAATGTTAATCAAACTTTTTCAACATACCTGTGCTGGTTTCTGTTTCTTTTTCTTCTGCTTTTTGGAAAGCCTAAGAATAAATATAAATCAAAATGTCAAATATTTAACTCTGTGACTACTTACTAAGTGAAGAAAAAGAGTACTAAAACACTACTGATACAGAGAGAAGTGAAATTTTCAAAGTATTTAATATCATAAGATATTAAAAAGAAAATATTCACATTATCATTAGAAAATTAGAACGGTGGTTCCATTGATGGTAATTAGCATATCAATTACCTAGGTACAAAAGTGCTTTTAATAGTCATAATATATTCTGTAAAAATTCTATTTGACATCATGCTTTACCCGTTTCAATACTGTAAGTTCCCTTATGCAGAAAAAAATGTGGAAAAATATTAGCATAACAGAATAACTTCTTAGATAAAATAGCATTTAAATGCAATCTCATCTCTAATGTGGTATGTCTAGAAGCATTTTTAGAAGTACTTTTGTTTTGGTGCATCTTCTATTTCTTCCTCAGAATTGGCATTCAATGAATTTTCATCAGTTGGAGGTCCTGAAAAATTTTCTTCCTCCTCCTCCAACTGTTGTTTTAACAAGGCAACCATTTCCCGATGCTTCTTTGATTTTTCATGATTCCTCATGCTGAAAGAACAATCTGACATTAGTAACCACAACAGGATTTGTATGTGCCCAAATATGTGGCTGAATAAATGCAACCACGTTAAAATTCATTTTTCCCCAGTACCGGAAGCAAAATGTTGGGGATCCTACAAAGAGAAGCAGAACCACCCTGTCAGACCTCTCAGGCAGGAGGACACGGCCAGTCCACAGTGGTGCTCTTCTTCCCTGTATCCCAGCATTCTCCTTTCCCTCTGTCCTTTCATCTACATATTTTCTTCCAATTTTTTTTTGGTCAAAATCTTTATTATTTTTATTTTCCAATTCTTAAAATTCAAGACTTCTCCACTGTTTCCTCTTAATCACTGAGTATTAGCCAAGCGTGTGCACGTTCCAGGTTGCACTGTGGGCTTTGGAAGATGCTGAGAAATTACAAGACAACATTCCAACTTGAAGAGAAGACTGCTTGGGGGTTACGATGTGAGGGCCTCAGGTACCAGAGTAGTTTACCCCCTTTTGCTTTTTTCAATAACCGTCTTTCACCTTCTCAAGAGGGCTCTCTCTTCTCACTCCCACCTTCCTAAATGTGAGTTCAGACACATCTACACCCGTCTGCCTAAAACTTTCTGAGCCCTGTCTCTTTCAGTGCATCTGTGGGCCATGAAGTAACACTCCACAAAATAGGGTTGACAACACTTAAGTACCAGAGTTATTAGACGAACAAGAAAGTAGGAAACTTACGTCCATACTATCCACTTTATCTCATCTGTTCAGACTTGGGTTTTCTAGTCTCAGTTGCTACTCTTCCTTTCCACTAAAATTCTCCTTCATACCATGGTTTCTTAGAAAAATTGGAACATCTTGTGCCAGAAAGTAAGTGCTCAAAAAAATGACTGGGACATGTCAAAAGGACACAGGAGCCACCTTGGAGGAACTCTCACTAATCGTATCTGGAAAAGTTTGAGCATGAAAAATACAGGAATAAATTCGAAAACACTGAAAAACTTCACAAATTCATACTCATAATAGATAGCTAGATGGAGGAAAGGTAGGGCTCTTACTGAGAGCAGAAGGCCTACTGAGGACTAATAATGGAGAAGGAGCACTGGTACTAGAAAAGCCCCCTTTTGGAACCATTATGGTGCCAAGTGCCATAAGCTGAAATCATCAATGAATGCCAAATCTAGGACATTCTGAGGAGCAAGATACTTGCCTAACTTTAAAGTGTCTCCCCACAGATTAAACAGGCTATAAGGTAAAATCTGTCGCAAGGGGAAAAGAATGCTAACTCTACAGTGAAAAAATCAGACAGCGTCCTGGCTGGCTGATCAAAACTATCACCACCAAAGAAGGGCAGACAGATGCAGACATTGTATGCTTCTAGAAATGAAGACCCGAGAGCAGCACATGTTGACGCAGTATTCCAGCTGGAGACACAGAATCTAATCATGAGGAGACGGACACTCAAGACGATAAATACTCCAGTAAAAAAAAAGGTTTTAAAGGGCCCGTATTCTGGAGTTAACAATGGCACAGACAAGGGAACTGATCCAGATTAAATAAGACTAAATAAATGAACGCAATCCATGAACCTAGACCGGATCCCGATTGGAGTAGAAGAGACTCCGTACAGGACGTGAACAGAGGATGTGCTGACAGAAGGGGGATTCGGGTGGTAAAGGAGATGAAAGGAACATACCAGTGTTAACAAATTTCCTGAAGCTGACAGTGGTCCTGTGATCATCTACCAGAACAGCCTTATTCTTTAGGAATACATACTGAAGTATTTAGAGGTAGACAAGCATTATGCACATAACCTACTCTCAAATTTTTCAGGGAAAAACGGTGTGTGGAGCAGCGGAGGTGGGGGGAGAGAGAGAGAAGGGGTGCACCAAATGGGGCAAAATGTCAGGTGAATCGGGCGCTCTGTATTCTGTCCTTGCAACTTCTAAGTCTGGCATTGTTTCCAAATAAAGTAATTTTTTAGATCTCCTTCACTGTTGCTTTTGTTTTCCCGTTTCTGACTCTTCTGCCCTTGCCACGTCTCTTACCACTCTACAGTTTTTTCCCCTCGGGGTTCCACACCAACACCTTTTACGACTCCCACACCCCCACTGGCATCCTTCGGTCTCCTTTCTCCTTCCCTGAGTGTGTTTTGTTTCTTTGTCCCTTGCTGACTCTACTTTTGTTTTCTGCCCTATTCTTTCTCCTCTCTTTATAATAGTATCCCTTTAAATACTTCTCTCTTCTTCCTCATTTCCAAAAGGCGAAGTCCCTCCACTTCAGCAAGTAAAATTTAGGCAGGACACGTTTAAAGTTCCAGGTTGGCAGCACACGGGAGTGTGATGGCTGGAAGGGGGTCTGCCACCAACAACAGAGACTAGCTTTGGTCCAGCCTCCTCGTCTGTGACCTGCCTTCTTTGTCGCAACAAGCAGCAACATGGAGGTGCATCCAGGTTTTAAAAAGCAGCATGAATGAGAATCAGCACAACATGCTTATTCACCACCAGTACAAATCCTACCTCCTCTGCTGGCCAGAAATCCCCCAAGAGAACATGGAGGAGGGCTGGTGACCCACTGCTATGAGCACTTTCTTTTTAGGGCTTTCAGTGTTCTAGTTCACCTTGGAAGAAAAGGGGAGTCCAAAGATCTTAAACTTACGCCTTTTCCGTCTTGAAAGATTTGTCACACGCTGGGCAGTAAAGGTCATCGTACAGCTCAGCATCCTCAGCCTCATCACTGTCTTTACCTGAGAGAAGGAAGCCGACAGTAAGAATCCTGTTTGAATAGAACACAAATCTAAAACATGTTAACAAATTACATGTCTTCAGTAACAATCTAATATCACACACAAGTTAGAAATTGTATTTCCTTACAAAAAACAAATAACGTTACCAGGATTTGAGCTTTTTAAAAGCAGTCCTGAATTATAAGGGGAGGCTTCCAAATCAACCACATTATCTTTCCAGTTCTTCTCTTAAGTCTACTGAGAAGACTCTAAGTCTTCTCAAAGTTCTCAGTGTGAGCTAAGTTCAGAAAATCAAATGCCACTTTGATAGTTCTACCACAAAGCAGTTCTTTCAACAAAGGTTTTTCAGTTTCCCCCTTGAGCAAGATTCGATGCAAACACATTTGTAACTGTAATCTACTCTTAAATGCTTTAGTTTATAACACTCCATCACTATTTGACAGGCTGGTCATTAAAGAGCATATTATATGTAAACTTTAACATGTCTTTATACCCTTGTTTTTTTATAAGCTTGGGCTTTATTACAATGAAATAATTACTATCAATAAAGTCCACAAAATCTAAGCAACTCAAAGCCTGAACTAAAAGTCTTTGCAAAATCCCATCTATCTTTATAAGAAATAAACAAGTAAATTGACTGCTATTGAGATCAGATCAATAAATGGGATCATACAATGAGATCAATAAAGATCCCAAGGTATCTCTTCTATAGTCTACATTTTGGTTCTTTATAAGTAAGTGATATTAACAGGACTTTGAAAGACATTCTCATTGAAATCATAAATGATCAAAACTCATTCTATCTAGTATTAATGTTTAATAAATGGTGTTATTGTGCAATTACCTGTACCCTTTCATTATATAAACGATTAATCAAATAGTTAATAAAGAATGTTGGATTTGAAGTCAAAATCTGGATCTAAAAATGAACATATGGCAGGCCTATATGCCAAAGCTTCTCAGAATCTTATCTTCCTCTTCAGTAAAAGGGAAATCATTCTATGAGCAAAACATACATGTAAGGGGTATTGTGTAAAAGCTCTTGCATGTGAAAGGACTTCATAAATTTTACATAAAACTCTAATTATGCCACCTCACGTTTATAGAATGCATTATAATTTTCAAAAGACTTGCTCAAAAACTACTTCTAAGTCATTAATAGAAAATTTCATAATCATTTTGAGTAAATAAAAGTCCATCATTTTGTCATTTGGCTACTAGTCTAAAACACATTTATAGATAAGGTGAAACTGTGCTAGATCCTTCCACATTACTCCTCATGGAATAGCTAGAGACAACTCAAAAGGTCAGGTTATTCTCCACAATGCCTACTCCTCTCCTGTTCAGGTAGTCACATGCTCTCACGAGAGAGGCACCAAAAGGACAGTTTTCAGCACACCAGGAGGAGCCCCTCAACAAAGTCAGAAATGAGAGGAAGAATTTATATACACTACGTAGACTCCTGTACAATTTTTTCTGGAAAGAGCTGCTATTAAAACTTGACCTACGGAGCTTCATTGCAGGTTTTTAAGTAACCAACAGTCACACCTGTCAATATGCCTATTTGCCAAATTTATTTATGCAGCCAGAAGCATAAACTGTTTAAAGCATGGTCAGGAAAGAGTTTATTAATCAGATAAACTCTTATTTATCTGTAGTAGTCTCGGGATTAGACAACGTCAGTGGGCTACCTTTGCTTGGCCTATACAATATTGTTTTTCATTTTAATTGTCTGCCACGTTTAAGAACTGGAAGAGGTACCCTAAAAATCCAGATTTCCAGCTCTGCTTAGAAAGCAAATGGACATGAACACCCCGGCAACACAGGTCCCAGCAGCAGTGGAGTGGACTCTGGCGTTCCCAGGATGCGGCCAAGCCCCCGCTTCCGACTGCCCCCTGTGAGCACCCTGGGTGCACAACGCCTGCGCACAGAAACATTCACTTTCTCGAGTTTCCTAAGGAATGAAGTTACCATCGTGCCCATCTTTGAGCTCAGATTCCTCTGTGTCATCTTCATCTGATCCATCTCCAAACTCCTTCTCATAGCGCGCCTCCATCTCCTTGAGCTCCTTCTCCAGGTCGGCCACGGTCATCCAGCTCTGTTCCTTGTACTGCTCGGCCAGTCTAGACACACAGCACAGCCCCACTTACGCTGAGAATCAGGTCTCCACGCTGGTTCTACTTACCCCATAGGCTTCCAACCCATGCCCTATAGAGCTTCTTCCTCCACCGTCAGTGTTGAGTTCAAGTGGGGGCAATTGCTTATCTGTTATGTGGTTGATTTTAACTACTCTATTAGATAATGGGTTTTGAAACCTATAACTCTTAGCAAGTTATTAAAAGTCTTGAGGTGTTTTTAAATCCTAAGTGGCGAGTAAAGTGCTCATTTTCCAAAAATGAAGGGTGGGGGGGTAGAATTTGTAAGAGGTGAATAATCTTTAAGAGAATGCTACAATGCTCTGGACACAATGCTTTTACACTAACTGCAAGTAACAGAGCATTAAAGGCACGAAAACGAACTAAAGGTCTGGAGCGTGCCATCAAAGAGGCAGGACTGCGAGGTGGGGCAGAACAGGGGCACTGCGCCGGCATCTTGGGTCCGAGGCCCGCCTCTGTGACTTCCCAGCCATGGGATCTCGGACCCGTCTGCCTCGCCTCCTCAAAAGGACAAGGAGAAAAGCCAGAACTTACTTTGCAGAACTGCTAGGACAAAAGTGCATAGAACAGGGCCTGGTCCAGAAGAAGAGATCAATGGACAGTCATTACTATTACATCTCACAAGAGTCTGGAAAGGATCTCAAGTATAAAGGACCTCTGAAGGCAAACATGCAATGCAAGGGTGGCTGATGCAGCCAGGATGTGGATGTGGCCCTCCTACCCCTGTGAAAGCGCCCCATCAGGCCTAGCCCCACATCTCTATGGGGCAAGGGGCATCCCAGTGCATCCCGTACTTGGCCTGCTTCAGCTTCTGCTGCCGCCTCATCTCCTCCGCCTTCCTGGCTTTCTCGGCGTTCTGTTCCTCCACGAGCTTCCGATGTGCCTGCACTCTTCTGTCTCTCTTACGGATGAATGCGACCAGCTGGCGCACAAGCTCGTTCTTCTCCTTCCTTGCTTTGTCGCGAATCTTTTTGTTTTCTTTTTCCATGGCTCGTTTCTCCCAGCGGTTTGAAGCTTGTCGTGTATCATATTCTTCCTTCCAAGCAAAGTTCTTCTGAGTGCAGAAACTCTGCCAATAGGCATAGAAAGGATGGACTACCTAGAGACAAAAAAAAACAAGTAAAATGCTGAGGTGTAAGATTTTTTTCCTCAGCAAGGCAGCAAATATCAGTGATGCAAAACATCTTCTCTTTTTTCATATACATAACATCACTACTAGTCAATGGAGAAGACAGTCCTCTTACGGCTTTACAGAATAAATCACTCTCCAGAACAAACTGAATGAGGTGATGAATGGGATGGGACCCTGCTTAAAAAAACAGGAAAAAGTAAAGAAGGATGCTCTGAGGGCACTGAAAGTCCCTCCAGGAAGGGACAGAGAGGAAGAGACTTAGTCACAGTATAGGACCAAGACCTAGGATCCATGCTTAACTAAAGAAATGGGGACGGGGTGCCTGGGTGGCTCAATTGGTTAAGCGATTGCCTTTGGCACAGGTCATGATCCCAGGGTCCTGGGATCGAGCCCCACATCGGGCTCCTTGCTCAGTCTGGAGCCTGCTTCTCCCTCTCCCTCTGTCCCCCCTGCTCATGCTCTCTCCTTCATTCTCTATCTCAAATAAATAAATAAAATCTTAAAAAAAAAAAAGAAGAAGAAGAAGAAGAAGAAGTGGGGAGAAAACACACTGGTAAATGCTAATTATAAAATGGCAAAGCAATTTTCTTTTACCGTATCATAGTCACTCTGGGAGTCTCCAAAAGTGGGGAAATCTTCCATCTCCTCTTCTAACACAGATTCTAGTTCTTCCTTCGCAATCATTTCAAAAACGTTACGATAAACTGTATAAAAGCCCTAAAAAACAGTAGCAGGAGCACAAATTCTTAATACTTGTATAGTCTAATCACCGATTATGATTTTAAAATGTAACATGAAAAACTTTAACATTAAAGAATTAAGGGCTCAAGCTCTGTCACTGCAAGAGCATTTAGGTTTCAACTGGAGGTTTTCATATGCCGACAGTTTAAATATGAAGGCAATATTTTTTCACTTTTCAAAATGAACACTGTTTCACCTATTATAAAATAATTTTGAGAATTTTCTTTGTTTGAAAGTCTCGTGCTTGGTCAGAAATTAAGAGTAAGTTCATTTACCTTTTCATCATCTCCATAACCAGAGTAACAGGTCACAGTGAAATAGTGAAGCAAATCTAAGCTGTCGTCTTGATATTCCCCATCAAGCCCACCTTTAAGCAGAGCCTCTCTATGATTATCATACCTAAACAAACAAGACAAATTAGTATCCCCTCAGTGACCACTGAATAAGTAAGATTTCAGAAGGACGCTTTACTCTGAAACAGCCAAATTATTATACATTTTAATGTGTCCAATCCATACTAAAAAAAATTTTTTTAAATATCAACATGAAATCCTTCAGAGAACTGATTAAAACTATGACTGCAACTTCCAATACGATGGAGGCATTGTATAGTACTCACCCATATGAACAATGCAATTTAACAAGCCAGGGAATTTCCATGACTCCCCCAGAAAGTTAACTGCATTTCTACAGGTAAGAAATATTACTAAATAGGTCAGCACTGGACATAATCTGCTCCACAGACTGATTATATATTTGTGATCAGATTTACCAACATAGACCAGAGCAAGACTCTTCCTAGGTTTATGTAAACAATCTGTGAGTTTCACATACACACAATTACTCCTTATAATAACTCTATAACGTTAGTTCTTACCCCCAAAGATATAACAGGAAACTGAAGCTCAGTGATACTAAACAATTTGTCCATAATCACAAACCCAATACGCAGCAAAGCTAGAATTCCAACCCGGGTCTCCTGCACCGGAAGGACAGTGCTCCTAGTAACTGTGCAGTCTGGCCTGCAGGTCACAGGAGAGTTAATGGCAGGGGCTTCAGACAAAAAGACAAGAGAGTCCTTAGCACAGGAAGGCCTCCTGAGATCTGGAGAAGCGGACAGAGCCAAGGAAGTCAGGAAAGAATTTAAATTTCCTAAAGGAAAGCAAAAGCATTTCTAAGGCCACATCTCCAAATTTTTCAGGAGGAGAAAAATGTAGGATTCTCTGGTTTTTCACCTAAAAGACAACTGTTAGAGAATTTTTTTTTTACAGCCTTTCTCTCTCGAGAGCCAGCTGTGTGGTACGCTGTTTAACACACACAAGACTCGCGCAGCAACACTGAACACCCACCTGCTCTTTATAACAGCAGGCTCTTGCACAGTTATGTCCGGGCTTAAAATCTATTCCTTTGTGGGAAAAAGTTCATCAAGAATCTGAAAATTTAAATTTAAACATAGAAATTTTTGTCTGGGGGCACCTGGGTGGCTCAGTGGGTTAAGCATCTGCCTTCAGCTCAGGTCATGATCCCAGGGTCCTGGGATCGAGTCCCACATCAGGCTCCTTGCTCAGCGGGGAGTCTGCCTCTCCCTCTGCCCCTCCCCCCCATGCTCACTCTCTCTCTCTAAAATAAATAAAATCTTTAAAAAAAAAAAAAGAAATTTTTGTCTGAAAATGGTATTAAATTGTCAGGTCATCAAAAGTAAAAGTATCTGTCTTAGATACAGAAGCTTAACTCCATTTCTTCATATAAAGTAGGTCTTTATACGCAATTCTTGCTCTGAAGCACTCTGTTTTTAAGGACAAGTCAACATTCTTGTCTAACGCCAGTAAACTTGTCATACACCAGAGATCCCATTTAATGAGAAGTTACTTCACAAGTATCGAAGTTAAATCTATCCAATATTGCCAAGCTTTGTTCCACCACCTATAAAATGATTGGAATATTCACCTCTAAGGTTCCTTCCGACTCTAATACTGCATTTTCTTTATTTTATTTTATTTTATTATGTTAATCACCATACATTACATCATTAGTTTCTGATGTAGTGTTCCATAATTCATTGTTTGCATATAACACCCAGTGCTCTATTCAGTAAGTGCCCTCTTTAATACCCATCACCAGGCTAACCCATCCCTCCACCCCTCTCCCCTCTAGAACCCTCAGTTTGTTTCTCAGAGTCCATAGTCTCTCATGGTTCGTCTCCCCCTCCAACTCCCCCCCCATTTTTCCCTTCCTGCTATCTTCTTCTTTTTTTTTTTTTTTTTAACATATAATGTATTATTTGTTTCAGAGGTACAGGTCTGTGATTCAACAGTCTTACACAATTCACAGCGCTTACCATAACACATACCCTCCCCAATGTCCATCACCCAGCCACCCCATCCCTCCCACCCCCCACCATTCCAGCAACCCTCAGCTTGCTTCCTGAGATTAAGAATTCCTCATATCAGTGAGATCATATGATACATGTCTTTCTCTGACTGACTGACTTCGCTCAGCCTAATACCCTCCAGTTCCAACCATGTCGTTGCAAATGGCAAGATTTCATTCCTTTTGATGGCTGCGTAATATTCCATTGTATATATACACCACATCTTCTTTATCCATTCATCTGTCAATGGACACCTTGGCTCTTTCCATAGTTTGGCTATTGTGGACATTGCTGTTATAAACATCAGGGTATTTACCCCAAAGATACAGATGTAGGGATCCGAAGGGATATGTGCACCCCGATGTTTATAATACTGCATTTTCTATAATGAATAGGTGACAGATACCTCAGAACACACCGAAACATCTGACAAATATACATTTTTTAGACCTTCTATTGATAATTCTTCCCAACAAAATACACTAAGATAGGAGGGACAGTGTGATGCTCACCATGCTCTTTCCTGAGGGTCACTCAACACATCATATGCTGCTTGGATTAATTTAAATTGTTCAGCTGCTTCTGCGGCATTATCCAGATTTTTATCTGTTAAAATAAAGTCATAGATATTCAGTCATCAAACAGGTAGAGGACAGAATCTAAAAGGGACCTCTTCCATCACAAATGCCATAAATAGATGAGGAGTGTACAAAACAAAGAAAAACAATCAGGGAAAAGCAAAGAGATCCTGGTGAGAGTTGATAATCAGGGTATGTGAGAAGTAACTACTTGAGTAGAAATTGCATGCTTTCCCCTAAGCCTTGGTGCATCACTGAGCACTCAATCTGGATATCCACAAATGGAAAACCCTGAGTAGTATACATTTTATTTTTAGAAAAAGCAAAATATACATATCAAATCAGTAACAGAAGGACTGTTACTATTTAGTGCTAAATTATGTTTATTGTTCGCATGGTCTTTATGTTTTTTCTTTTTTATCAACGTAGACCAAAATAAATCTCATAAAGCTTTAAAAATATATACTAATTATTCTTCTCTTAGCTGTGCTTCCTTAACTATGAATCAGAGAGCATCTCTGCCTCAGGGAGGTAGGCAGCTTCCAAGATGGCCCCCAAGGATCCCCACCTCCTGGCATTCACACCCTGTGGAGCCCCTTCATAGGTCACCAGGGTTGGTCTGTGTGACCAACAGCAGGCAGTAGAAATGATGATGGCACGCTAAATTACTTCTGAGATTAGTTTATAAAAGGCTGCAGTTTCCATGTTGGGCTCTTGCTCTCTTGGATCACTCTGGGAGTAGCCAGCTGCCACAGCAAGAAGACACTCGGGTGGCCCACGTGGAGAACAGAGGCCTCTGGCCCACAGCCAGCAAGGAAATAAGGCCTGCCACTACCATGTGGAAGAGACTGAAAAGCGGATTTTCCCAATGAGGAACCCTGAGCCCAAACCACCCAGCTAAGCCATTCCCACACTCTGATCCTCAGAAACTGAGTCCAATATAATGAATGTTTGCTGTGTTTATAGGTTTAAGCCCTAAGTTTTTGGTAATTTGTTATGTAGCAATAGATACCTAATATACTCAGAAAGTAAAATGTTTTCAATCTACTCTGGAGCATACCAAAATCTTATAAGCTACAACTCAATACTTGCCCTCTAAGAGGCCAGAGGAAAAATAGGACAGAAACACATTCCCTAGGAATAATCTTGCAGCCTTAGAACAAGACCGTTGAAGGCATCCTGCCTCCTCTTTTTAGGTACCATCACACTGGGTGTCCAGTCCTTCAGGCGATTTTCTGCTCGACCACTATCACGGACAATACTTTCTCTAGTGCAGCAATTTGCCATAGCTCTCTTTACTAAGATGCTTTAACCTAAAAAGCTTTCAATATCATTTTAGAATCATGGTAACTTTAAATCAAAAGAAAAAAACTCTTCCATCCCCGCAGCCTAGCTGTAAATGGCAAGTGATACAATGCCAGTCTAAATCCCCGTCCACAGTGCAGCCCCTCTGAAGACAGCCAATGGTTATCTCAAAGTCCACCTTTCCCCGGCACTAAATATTCCCATTTCTCATGACACACCATAATCCTCTACTTCTAATGCAGTCAGAAACAGGCACCAATAATCAAGGAGCCATTCATTACTTCCTCTTCTTCACACTCTACTTTTAATCACTAGAGCTCATTACGTTAACTTTCCACAACAGCATCACGTTACATCATTCTGAATTTACAGCTGACAAAGTTTCATGCAGGTTTCATACTGACAAGCCAAGTGGTAACTATATAACGGACTTTTTAAAAACTCTGATAGAGCTCTGGATCCATTCTGTGGCAGACATTGAAGGTTAGTTCATCCAACACCTCTCCCCTTTTCTCCTGCAGCCTCTACTGTGGAGGCTAAGCTCAAGGACTTGCTTTCCAGCCTCCCTTGCTGCTAGGAATGGCTATATGACACAGCTCTGATCAATAAGGAGGTCAGCAGAAGTCTATTAGTGTATTTTCTTTCCTTCCTCTTTCTTCTTGTCTTGCATGTGGACATGATGTTTGGCGCTTCAGCAGCCATCTTGAGACTGTGAAGAAAAAGCCAAGAGATTCAGTGATATTAAGGAACAATGCCAGCAGGCACCTACCTCCAAACCTTCTTGTGGTGAGAGAAAGAAAAAAAACCCTTTATTTATTGGTTAGGTTTTCTGTTATTTCCAACTAATACTACCAAATTCCATCTCGTTGTGGCCCTGTTGCAATCAGGTTTTAGGTAATACAGGACACTCAGTGCCCTGTTGGAATTATTTTAAATTTTGATCCCCACTCTGTGAAAGATACTACTAGCTGCCTACCCAGCATCTAGTCTCTTCTTCTTCCTAACAAAACCCTGATTTTGTTCACATTAGTAATGTACCCAGCTAAAAAATTCACCTCCCCAGACTTTCTTGAGGTTGGGGAGATCAGGTGACCCAGTTTTAGCCAATGAGAGAGAAGCATACACCTACCAAGTGAAACTGCCCAGGAAAAATTGTATTTTCCATATGAAAGAGATGGGCTTTGGTGGCACTCACCTTATGGCCTTACCTCAGCCCAAAGTCAGGGTATAAAGCCTACAGGTGATTATGAGGATTGAGACAGAGACTGCTAGTTTATTCTCTTCTTCCAGGAACAAGCGAGACCTGACTTTGTGGTGCGCACCTGGTCCCATTATAAAGCCTCCATTTCTGTCTCCTTTGAAGCTTCGCATGACTGTGACTATGCTCTGATGTGTAACACCTGTAAGAATGTTCCATGCCTGCTTTCAAGAACTTCCTTACAAGGCAACTAGCACGCACTCTCTGTGCCTGCACTATCCTTTCCTCCTCCGCTCTGCTCCCTGGGACCCCCAACGGCCACGCTGGCCAGTAAGTGAGGGCCCACCTGAAAGGTGCCGAGCAGAGTCCACAGGCCTCCTGGAGGAGAACTGCTACACAGCGGCTCGCCTGCCTGTCTCTGCACCTCAACGTGAGAGCAAGAAACTTTGAGCTCTGAGCCTTACTTGCTTACACTTGGTGCGAGCGCTCAAGCCTTAGGATCAGGACAACGGAGGTCTTTGATGGTCTCCTCAAGAGCTGGAGCTACCAAGACGAGTCCCCTCGGGATTTCTTGCTAGGTGAGAAAAATAAAACTATTTGGTTTAGTTACTGTCGCCACCTTCCTGTCACATGCAGCTGAACACAGTCCAGATATGCCTTCAAGGTGAGAGTCATGATTTCTACAGCTTTCATGATTCAAAAATACTCATGATTTCTACATCTTCATCAAATCATTCATAAACTTTGTCATAAATAAAAAAGCAGAGTCCCAATTAAGGCAGAATGGCAGAAAACGCCAGCAAATAAATCTTCCCACATAAAACAAAAAAGGTGACTGGGGGAGGTATGTGGGTGGTTCTTCTTCACCTTTTAATCAGTACTGTACTTCGTTGTCCTGTTTCTTCCCACACCCTTCCTTCCTCCTCCAAAGAAGTTTGGAGAAAGCTCAAGCTTTTAAACGCAGAAAGCCCATCAATGTACCAGCTGAAAATAAGATCTAGCCTCTTACTAAAGCGTCTTTCTTAAATAAGTTTTTCAGTCTGTCATATGGCTTATTTCACTTAAATATACCTGAACTGGTTGACTATAATGTTAAACTGAGATCTAAACACATAAGTGCAGTAAGTTAAGGGGTGCCTGGGTGGCTCAGTCGGTTAAGCGTCTGCCTTCGGCTCAGGTCATGATCCCAGGGTCCTGGGATCGAGCCCCACATCGGGCTCCTTGCTCGGCAGGAAGCCTGCTTCTCCCTCTCCCACTCCCCCTGCTTGTGTTCCCTCTCTCACTGTCCCTCTCTCTGTCAAATAAATAAATAAATAAAAATCTTAAAAAAAAAAAGTGAAGTAAGTTAAAAAGCAATAATAAAGAAACAAAAAGCCCACATTTATTATTAGCCACACACAAAGGCCACAGGTATTGCAAATCCAGTCATCAAAATTTAAAAGGCATTCTCACACTATTCTTCATGCTTTTCTCTCAATCCACTCACACACTCTTCTACTCCCTCCCAAACTTTTTTGCAGTGCCTTCTGGAAAATTCCATGGATTGAGCCTTTTAAATCCTGCCTTGACTGAAGCCAGGCTCTCTGAGAACACCACTTCCCTGCATGGCTTCCTTCTTGGGCTCCTTCAGCCACAGCCCTCATATGGCAGGTCTGGGGCTGGAGCTGGCGTCCTCCTACCTGCTGGTCCTTTACTCACCCCCAAGGGCACACTAGCATTCCTTCCAGATTCATACCATTGGCCAACGCCACCTTCTTCCCCTTCTCACTGACTTTGGGCTGAGTTAGGGCATAAGGTGAATGCCACCAAAGCCCATCACATCACTCAACCACTCCCCCTTAATTCACTGAGAATTCTGGCACTTGACTCAGAAGTTTCCATTCCCAGGTCCTGTGGTCATCATGGTGACTTGAATGTACTCTGACCTCCTGGTCTCCCTACTTCCAGTCTTGCCTACTCCAATCCACTCTCTCCCACATGGCCAGAGAGATACCTGACAAACAAAAACCTATCTTTCCCCCTGCTTCCCACTGCCCTTAGGTTAAAATCCAATCTACCTCATCCAGTTTACCCCAACTTCCCAGACCTGACTTATGCTTACCTGGTCATGCTCCCCTCTTTGCCCTTCCTGCACTGTCATGCTTTGTCTGGCCTCCCTCCACCTGTACTCCCTTCTTTCTGGCTTTCGGTCTTGCCTTAGAGGTCACTTCTTCAGGGATGCACATCTATCCCACCCACACAGAAACCCAGTCCAGGTCAGGCACGTGTGCTCATAAGCATCTTGTACTTGCCTTCATACCACCCTTATCCCTCACCAGACTGAAACTACCTGTTTTCCTGGGACTCCCTGATGACTCTACATGGCCGCAGAGCAGGGACCATTCCTGTCTCATTCACACAGTAAAGTGCTCACGGCAGTCATCAAATAAAAGCCTTCCTTTCACAAGGAGTGATCTCACTAGGAAGTAATGTTGACCCTACTGAAAATTATTTTCAGTTGCTAATTAAAAAAAAACAAAAAACAAAGAAATACCTTTAACAATGAAAAATGAGCAGCCTTTCTTTTTGAAGTTCAAATTATTCTTTGAAGCAAAGCCCCTATGTTAACCTCAGAAACATTTAACACAGGACCTTGCACATAGAATGAATTAAACATTTGCTGACTGCTGGACTTAACAAGCCAGCACAGCAAAATATATCAAAATCATGTGTTGCCTGTAGAGTATGTATCCTTTAAATGTACAGGCATCTTCAAACCAAAAGATATTTAGGATGTTATGATTTATGATGACATTCAGAGAAGACATTCACATTTTGTTTCTAACCAGTTTGGTTTCAAAATAGTTAACTGATGTTTTAGTAACGTTTACATACTTCTTCCTTCCTTCCTTCCTTGCACTGATTTCCAATTAATCACCAAATCTGATCATTTTTCCTTCATAGCATCTCTTCAACCCGGCCTTGCCCTTCCCTCCCACTGACCCCCAGCCCGGTGTGGGCCCTTCCTTGCCATGGTGGACACTACCTGACTTCTGTCCCCGTTCCTCTTCAATCCACTCAGCCGCCCCCACAGTATCACATCAAGACATCTTCGACCCTCCCTTATTGGAAATACAAATTTCACAGTCCTTAGCCTAACATTCAAGACCCTTTACAATCTAATCTTAAAACTATACTCAAAAACATCTTCATATTATCATCAAAATTATATATGCATTTGGTCACAAGCATTAATCCTCTTCCTCACACTTTCCCAGCCGGAAGAGTCAGGAATTCCTAACTTCCTTCTAATTCCTAACTCAATCTCTGATGACAACCCCCATTCCTCTAAGAATATGTTTCTATACTATTTTTGGATTTATTAATTTTGGATATAGCCACTGGCTTCCTGCCGTGATGAATGTTTAGCTTACTTACTTCTTCCTTTCCGATATATATCACATTTGTTTAGTTCCTCTGTTGGTAATCGTCACTTTAACAAACCCATACCTTTATTTCTTGTTCCACCAACTATAGACATTACCTTTTGACTTTGGGTCCAGGCCCTTCCTTCAGCTCTTCTCTCAACCCGTATTTTCAGATTTCCAATTAATACTGCCATCAGTCAAACTGTCACCTGGACCACCTTTTGTCCACCACGATGCTCTTCCCTCTACTCTTAAGCTCACTTTTCCAAATTCCATTTCGTTAGGATCCAGCTAAAAATCTAGGCTCCTCTGCCAAGGGGAAGCCTCGCTGCCCCTCAGGACATAGTGAAAACTCCCTCCCCTGAATTCCTGGGGCATTTATTAGTTGTTTTATTAACCCAACTACCAATTATGTAGGTTGTGCTATTTTGTTTGCACTTGTATTTAACTTTTCGTGGTTTACAGCATGTTTTCCCAGAGATGTCTTAGCATTTCAGAACCTTACTATGGTGACTTGTACATAGCAGAGATTCTATAAACATGCTAATATGTAAACCTCTTATAAGCCTCAAAAAGCTGATATTCAACTACAGCCTTAGTTTCCCAGTCTGAAAGATCAGATTACTTCACAAAAGTCACACAGGGCTGAAGTGCCACCAACTAAAACATCCAAAGGAAGCATACTTCTAAGTACACATACAAACTTCCCTAGGGGAAGACACCCAATTAAAACTTTCAATCTGCAAAACATCCGAAGTGGAGTACAGAGGTCTGTGTTTCAACAGCTTACTGGGAAAGGGAAGGGCGTGGGAAGCACAGCTATTTAAAAGACAGTTTACTAGCTTCCTTGTCTTAATTTCAATAAGGGGCCATAAATTACTCTTGGGTAGCTGGGATTCCGTGATGAAGTTAAGGGCTGTTGAGCGGCAGAGACTCAAGCAAGGGCCAAACTCGAGAGCTCAGGACTCCTGCTCCCTCGGTGGTGTCTGCGAAGGGGTGGGAGGAGCGGGTGAAGTCGCTCGAATGTGTACTCCCCATCAGGTGCCACTGCGGGTAGCGTCGGGGTGGGTGAGCAGGGGAACGTCTGGGGAGGGACGGGCTGCCCCGGGCTCGAGTGAAGCCTGGGGTGAGGGACGCGCCCGCCGACGGGCGAGGAGGACGCCCGGCGGGAAGAGCACTGCGCAGGGCACCTGGTCGGGGAGCCGGGCGGGGTTCCCAGGGCGAGGGGAGTTACAGGGCGGGCAGGTCGAGACTGGCCAGGGTCCCGGAGTTATTCCGGGAAGAGGGGGGCCAAGGGTGGCGGGGGCCCGGCTTTTGCAAGGGCTGCGACGGTTGCGGAGTAGTTACCCGGGTGCCATTTCAGGGCCAGCTTCCGATAGGCCTTCTTGAGCTCCTCCTCGCTGGCGTCGCGCCGCACCCCCAGCGCTTCATAGTGACACTTCATCGCCCGGCCGGGCAGGGGGCTGGGGCCGGGGCCCGGGGCGGGGCCGGGGCCCCGACCGGAGGGGTGGCGGCGGCGCTGCTGGTCCTCTTCGGCAGCGGGAGCCGGGCGCCCGCACCGGGCCAGCCAGCGAGCACGGCGGCGGCGGCAGCGGCGCGGGGTGGCAGAGGCGCGCGGCGGCGACAGGCGGCGCGGGCTGCGGCACGCGGGCGCGCGGAGGGGGCGGCGCCGGCGGCCGCGGCTTCGCATGGGCTGGGGGAGGGCTCGGTTCCCGGAAAAGCTGCGCGAGAGGGAGGCGGGGCCTCGGCGGCCGGGAGGCGGGGCTGCGGTGGGATGGAGGCAGGGCCACGGCAGGTGGGAGGTGGGGCCGCGGCGGGATGAAGGCGGGGCCCCGACAGGTGGGAGGCGGGGCCACGGTGGGCGTCATTGTGAGGGGCACAGTAGGCGGTCTGTGTAAGGAGCGCCGGCTGGGCAGCCCACCTGAGGGCTGATAGGAGTCTGATGGGAAAAGATTCCGGAAAGCATCTTGTTTTCTGAAGACGATTTCTCAGTGGAGTCCCGTTTTTCCAGATGGCAACTCGGGCTCGAAGTGGTCGAGTGGTTTGCTCAGGCTTCCCCGACTGATCGATGGCAGGATTCAGGTGAACCGAATACAGGATTTAACTCTTCAATCTCTTCAGCTGCCACTTATCGAGATCTCTAATACTGTTCATCCTGACCAATTTGCAATGAAATAACAGTAAATATGATACCTTAAACTGGAACAATTTGAGAGAGCATCAACACATTTTAAAATAACATACCAAATGTTTTACCACCGATACGGATAAAATTGTGCTGACCCATCCATCCATCACTCTTTAACCCTAACTTTCTGGCTTCTAATCCTACATTTCCTAGATTGTTAAGAATGCAGTTAAGGGATAGTATTTAACTAGTTTTTGTTGATCCAACCGATACACTGTTATTACAGGATGGAAGATCCCTACAACTGTTCCAATTTGATAAGGTGTCAAAATAGTATCCTAATTGTCATTAAAATATATTGGTTTAATATACACACCAGTGTATTTCACTGTAATGTGGAATGTTTACATATGTCAGTTGTTAGGTGTGGGTTTTGTGAACCATGTGTAAAGAGAAGGGTTGGCTCTATTGCTAAGTCTATTGTACAAGGTGGTCCCTTGCTTCCCTAATATCCTGCCCGCTGCACAATCAAAACCAACCAACCCTAAACCTCATCAAGTTTCTCCACACACTACTGTTCAACCAACCCATACTTGAAATTCATACACCTGCCTCTTTTTCAAAGAAGGAAGATACTATCCCACCTTAGTTGGTTTGGCAATGGAGAGGGATTGAGATGTTTGAATACAGGTGAAAATGGAAACTTCCCCATTTGAGAATGGGACTGGCAGTAGGGGATAAAAAGTAACAAAGAATAGAACTTTTTCTTCCTCCAGCTACATCTGGTTTTGCTTACAACCTGAGTCACTTGCCTTTTTCCTCCTGAGAGAAGAGAAAACTGTTTCTGCCTGTAACATTGTACAGAAAGATAAAGACAATTACACTGGATATAAATTTCAAAGGATTATCTTTATTAAACAAGTTGACTTCTAAATGAACATGAACTTGAAAGATGAATTCTCATTCAAATGAGGTACCCATATAAATGATCGTGAAAGGGAAGTAATTTGGGACAGGAAAATATGTAGAAACTGATAATCAAAACCGTTAAAGAAATTCCACTAAAACTCTATATTAAACACACACCTCAGAAAATGTTAAAAGTTTGGGTCTTCATTCAGACAACGTGTTGGGCCAGTTTATTTTATAACCTGTAATTAACTTCTTGGGATGTGGGTGTTTAGATACAAATCCTGAATACAACTTTTCATCCCAGGCTATATTCAATTGCTTAATAAATAAGCTTTTTCTCCGCCTGCATTTAACCAGAATTGGCCTTCATTACCCCCACCCAAGTATTTAAAGTGAATCTCTGAACTGAATCACCTGCTTAATATAGATTTCAAGATAAGTAGCCTGATTTAGACTACTTCAAAATAAGGTGGCCTAATTGTACATTCAAGGTTTCTTTGAAGAAAATTAAAAATGAAATATAATGGAAAATTGATTGTTCTGCCTACAGATTCAAAATAAAGAACAAAATTAAAATACAAGTGAGGAACTAGGAAAGATGTCTAGAATGACCCTGCCATAGAAGAGCTCTTACAAATTTGTAGATGACTACCACACAAAAACAAGATTAGTCCCAAAAAGGGGTATTTTTTTAACCTACCAAATTGACAAAAAATTATTTCACTGTTGTCAAGGGTACAATAAATGAACACTGACCTCTGGTGAAGTAACAGTATTTAGGGGAACAATCAAAATTTCTTAATGTTCACATCTTTTGACTTGAATTCCACTTATAGGAAACCACAAGGGTGGTATAAATTTGTCAAGAAATGTTTACCATAAGCACCCATACCTGAAATACTATCCCATAATAAGGGACAGATCGTACAGCTATAGCAGAGTAGAATACTGTGCAATTACTAGTCATGTTGTATAATAAAGACACGGGGAAGTGATTAATATGAAATAAAAATAAGTGGGTCACAAAACACCACATACATGATCCAATCCTATGTTATATGTGCATATGTATCAGTCTCTCTCTTACGCAGCCACCTACCTGTCCACGGCCACTAGCACCCAGAATCTTGTATTTCCTTCCTACTAAACTGACCTCCAGGAGGGTAAGCCCCGTGCTCTTCACCTCAGTTCTTTCATCAGGGGAAAAACTCAAATGTTCCAGTGCCCTCCAACTATTATTCCTTATTTCTTCCTTTTACTATTAAATTATCAAGTCATTTATACCCACTGCTTCTAAATTAAATTTGTAATCTACAAATACTTTCAACACATGTATTAAGTCATTTGATTCTCAAAACCTAAGAAGTATTGTACTTTTTTTTAAAAAGAGACAGAGAGTGAGAGAGCAAGAGCACACTCCCACAAGGGGGGTGGGCAGAGAGAGAAGCAGACTCCCCACTGAGCAGGGAGCCCAATGATGCAGGACTAGATCCCAAGACTCTGGGACCATGACCTGAGCCGAAGGCAGACACACCGAGCTACTCAGGTGCCCTACTGTACTTTCTTGAGGTGAGAAAACAAGATCAAGGATTGGCTTTTCCAAGGCCTCATTCATTGGTGACTCGGGGACTCCAACCTCAGTAAGATGCCTTTTATTTCTACCAGTCTATCTGCACTTTACCATCCGAAACTAAGCTCTCAAAAGTGCCTAATTCATTGTTTTAAAAGTAATAATGACCCAATAAATCTGCTTGAATTTCAGCTTTGCTAAACCCCAAATTTTAATCCAAGAAAACAGGCCTAAACCTGAGGTGAGCTAAATTTTTAGTAACACCAAACAAGCTTTGAAAAAAAAAACAAAAAAACAGAAATTAACTGATGAGTTCTAAATATCACTAATGGTGATATTTAGAAAAACATACACACCACGGAAGCCACAAATTTTAATTTGATTTTTGTCTTAAATGCCACACTAATGAGATACAAGGTAGTCCTGGATAATAAAAAGTATTTACACATTGAATACAAAATAAATATAAAATTACTGAAAAGTTAGTTATCCACTGATTCATTTTGCATTCCCACTGTTCATCTTCTGTTTCATTTTTCTTTGCCTTTTGTAAATCCTTTTCTTTCTTGCTTTCAAATCAACTTTCGGCTCTGGTTTTACCCACTGTATTTCTATCGGCTTTTCCTCAGCTGGTATAACAAAAACATCTGCAGTGGGATCATGTGGAAGAATAGTCTTTGGTTCTTTCTTTTTCATTTTCTGTGCATCCTTCACTTGTTGTTTCTCTTTGTATTTTGCAGCTGTGATGGATCTTATGATACGCCGATGCTAAAAACAAAAAAATATCAGATGCTTTCAAAATAAAAACATACTACATATGGTGAGGACATTCACTTATGAGTCCTATTTTCCCTTCACTTTTGTCATTAAAAAAAAGTAGTAATTTGCAAGACTGTATGCAGCAAAAAAACAAATTTAGTTTCACAGTTAACAGAAATTGCTTGACAGAATCATTTTGGTCAGAGAGTTCTGGGCATCCAGGGACCACTGAACAACAAAAATAGCTTACCATGTTTGGTGACTGGTAGTGAGGATTTTCATATAAAGTTGGTCCTCCAAAACTTCCCTGGAAAATCTTTATGAGATTTAAGACAAAGCGAGGTCCTACTTCTACAAGAGCAGCATCTTCTTCTATGATCTTCAATAAAAGGAAACATTTCATTTTGGTTTGGATATACTATTCCTCAAAGTTAGGCTATAACCTCATTACAAATATGCCTAAAACAAGTGAGAACCAATTAAATTAAGGTGGAATGTATTTTCTGAAATATATTACTAGTTATGGGTAATTGTCATGGGAAAATACTAACTTTTTTTCAGGGTGTTCTTTCAAAATTGAGTAATTTCAATTTGGTCCTTATCTTGCTTCTCACAGTGCACATACTGAATGAATTTTAAAATGAATTTTAAAAACTGCTACCACTGTAACAGAATGTATTAAAGCACCCTGTTGAGAACCCTTTTAAAATTTAAGTCAACCCCTAAATTGTATTTAGACATCTAATTCAAATTAGATTAGATTAGTATATAAAAGGATACATGGACAAATTTATTTTTGAATGGCTCCTGATTGTGGAATTAAGAGGCAACTTCTGAACTACAAATACTAACACAACACTGTTGGTTCAGGTATGTCTGCCCTCAGAGGCTAAGGGGCTATGTTTAACTCACACTGCAAGGTATCCAACAACCCATGCAGGAAAGAACCCAGATTACTTCACATGCTGTTCTTTCCACCTCTCTACCTTTCTGACTTCTTATCCTGCCAAACTCTTGCTTCAAGATTTCCAGAATCACTTCTCCTCCTAAATGAGTCGCTGTATGACTCATCTCACAGTTCTCATTGAATGCATTCTACAGGGATCATGTTTTTCTAAGTCTTAACAACCTCCACCCCCAGATTCCAACCTCTTTAGAGAGAAACTTGTATCTTACTGAATATATAGTTGCATGTTAGCAAACCCTTACACCACACCAACTGATAGCCGTGGAAAAAAGTAAGTAGAGAAGTAGGTAAAGTATGAGATAGTAGTTAACTGCTACGAGTCTGTGGGGGCAAAAAGCTATTTAAAACAAAAGGACTTATTATTTGCATCTTCTACAAATGCTATATGCTCTATATCCTACTTCATTTCAAAGTGTAATTAAAAATTAATTAAAGCTAACCTGAAAGTTCCGAAACCATATCCTATTATCCAAAATGGTGAAAGTAAACACATGGTCCACAAATGGTTGGCTTTTGGGATGATATCGTGGTGTACTAAAGATCTAGTTAAAAAAAAAAAAAATGTTAATTTCTCATTCTAGCGCATATCATGTATGTTTTAGATAGCTAAATTAACAAAAAGTCCAAAGGAGACACTCATTTATATTACTAAAAATACTTTCTAGAAAAGATATTTACCTGAATTAAGAGTTCTTTTAACAAAGCATAATGTGGTAATTCATCAAAAGCCTATAAAAATAAAGTGAACATATCATTTACAACAGCAGTGTTTTGTTTAAAATTGTGGGTTTTTTGAAATTTTAACTAAATTGAATTACACAACTACATCCACTAAAAAACAACCATGCAGACTAAGAAGATTAGACCTCATATACTAAATGAGAAACTTACAGGGTCAAAAGACAAAAGGGGCCGAGAACCTTTCAAACAGTTTCCAGTCATCTTTAGTTCAGCTAGGGTATGGACTAGAAAAAATATAACAACAAAAGTAGTCATAACTTTGGCACAATTATCCCAAAAGAGTATTTTTAATTTTGTCTTAAAAAAAATCTTAAACTGAGTCAACTTACTGTTTTGAACGAGGAATTTAGCAGATGGCCCATGAGGTGAATTTGAAAGCCTAAAAAATAGGAAATTTTTCAACTAATGAGAATTTAGAATGTAGTAAATTCTTACTATCTCACAGTTTAAAAGACACCATACCATGTTTGTAACATCCACATATTTTTCTTTAAAGGTTTCAACTTTTGTGAAATCAAATGAATTTGTTTCATCCCCTGGCCCCCTCTTTTTATATTAAAGACTGAAAGAAGTCTATAACCTAAGAGATATAAATAATAAATCCATTTACAAGAACAGTTCCACCTAAATCCTACTTAATACATTCTTACCACATATAGAGATCCTGTTTTTTCTTAGCTTCAAAATAGATACATTTATTGCAGTTTTTCATTTCACAAACCTAAACAAAGTATAAAAAAAGGAAGTAGATAATAAAAATGAGAACTAAAGCAATTAATATCTAGATTCCTCCAAAAATACTTAAGCAGGTTAATAGGCTACCAAGGTCTAAATCTAGGTAAATTCACAAAAAGAAACATTTAAAGTTCCCCTTAGGTATTCTAAGGTAAACAAGATACTCTGGCCTCTCTTCTGCTTACTGGGAACCTCTATCTTCCTAACATACTCCCATGTTCAACCTACAAAAAGTAAAAAAAGATACCCGAGGGAGAAAGCACACCACAATTAGCCTCATCAATCTTAGGAAAATAAGAACCTTTAAGAACCAACTACATCCATTATAATGGTTATTTTTATTTTTAACTCTTTAGCGTTTTGATTTTAAGCTCAAGAAATTTAAGATTTTTCTTCCTCATCTGTACTATCATTTCTGTGATTTCCATTTTGTGAAATCACTAAGGGACTGGTGAAAGGCAGAAGTATAGAAAACGTATTTCAAGTTGAATTAAACTTCAACATCCTGAAGGTTTATATTACTATAATATTCATAAACTATCTAATACAGTACTCATCAACTCTCAACTACTTGAGACTTTAAACCTAACAACTTAAAAAAACTCTTAGGTTCACTGCTTTTGTTTCCTATTGGTCTTAGAACAAACAACAATACTTAACAACACTAAGCTGGTTGTTTTCTAGTCAAGCCTCAACTGCTGTAAACTCATAACTGGTTTTTTTTCACCTATCTTCACTTGAAATTATACTTGTTCATGGACTGAATCCCCCATTGGAATGTAAGCCCCACTGGATGACAGGGCAGTTTTTCTGTTAAACGGTTTCCACAGCACTAGAATAAGGCCATTTATAACAGAGGTTCAAAAATCCATGCTAAATGAATAAAATAAGCCTTTCTAATAGTGAAAGGAAATGAACTTAAAACACAATTCCTCTAAATTTTTAAAAGTTGGCTTTAAAATATAAGTTCAGTATCTTCAACAATACTTTGAAAATTAACCTATTACTAATTTGTAGTATCTTAAGAGCAATTACCACGTGTATCACCTTTAATACTGGCAGAATACTTTCTAAGATGTGTGGTTTTAAAAATATTTAATGGACTTTTATTTTGTACATGTTGATAGTTTTTTAATAAGTACCCATTATAAATTTAGCACTGTACTGTACATGAGAAAAAAAGAGATATAATCCTTGTCTTCCAGAAATTTCAATATGTTTGGTAAGATAAGACAAATATAAGAATGATCAAAAAGTAATATATACTGAATCACTAAACTGTGAGAATAGACAGTATATAAAAATTTATAAGGCAGATTATTGAAGTTAAGAAAATTTGTCTGAGTTACCTTTTACAATTTAGAAGTCACTGAATAACTGACTTATTGTTTAAATCAACTATCTTTAGTGTTCCAAAATATTTTATTTTACTTGAATTACTATCTAAAATTACCTCATTAATGACAAATAACTTGTCTTTACGATCCATTTTTGTATCTATAAAAAGAAAAAAAAAGAAAGTAAATAAAAGATTTCAAAGCTACTTCAAACAAATCATACATGCTTTCTAAAAAAGTATTTTAAGTGTTTTTACAATCTTCAGTTTAAAAGAGATTTTCAAATTAGACCTAAAAACACATGACCTCTTTAAAAATCTTGTTCATTTTTTCTAAAAATGGCTGATTAGAAAACAGTCCTCGAGAATCATAAATTATGATCTAAGCAGTGTTTCTAGTCAACTTTACCTATTCCACAAGTCCCTTTCAAATATGGAAACATTCTCACAAACTGAACTATGTTCTAGGATTGCAGTTTAAGGAACACTCACTGAAGAAACTAAAATTTGAACTGAAGAAAGTTTCTTTGAATTCTGAATCATAGTTGTCAAGGAAATGGACTGAAAAAAACTGTTTCAGATTATCACAGAAAAAAAATTAGATCTCTTATTAGTTTCAGAGATATAAAGATACTAACAGCAGACCCCAGTTTGAGAAACAGGGGCCTAAGGAACAATGTTATTACCTGGAATTAAAGCCAAAAGCATCTTCCAACACAGGCACAAAAACAGCTGTATGATGGAACTGCCACAGTTCTAAACTTAAAACTTCACTTGCCTGCAAGATACACCACCGCTCAAAAGAGTATCTTGGCGTTTAGAAGTAGGCTGAACCCCAAATTAAACGTGCTTCAAATCCCACTCTGGTCCATTAACTTTCTAATAAGAACAGGGTTTTTTGTTTGCAAAAAAAGCAAAGATAGTAGGGCACCTAGGTAGCTCAGTGGTTAAGTGTCTGACTCTCGATCTCAGCTCAGGTTTTGATCCTGGGGCTGGGAGTTCAAGCCCTATGTGGGACCCCACACTGGGTGTGGAGCCAACTCAAGAAAAAAAATGCAGATAGCAATACATGGCAGTTCTCAATTACTTCGAAGGGCAAACCAGCTCGTGACCTCTGAGGGCATTACAATGAAGGCACTCCTGGACCTTCAAGAAATGTTTCGATAATAGGATATCTAAGAAAGTGAAGGGAATATTTAATGAATTTTGTAAAGAATTTCTAACAAAATATTAATTGGAAAAATCTTGTCACTGTTCTGAGGCAACAGAGTTCTTTACCTGAAAAGGCTGAACAAATGACAAGGTTAAACAATGACTTCAAGTGAGAATATACAGATAACTTTATAAATAAGAACTTTTAAAGTGTATGATATAAAGGCACCTGCTTTAGAATGAGGCATCAACATTCTCAAGTCTTGCATTAAATGTCTTGTTCTGAAATTTATTCCTCTGGAAGAAAAGATGAGAATCCGTTCCTTATTTTTCCACTTGCCCTAAAGAAAAAGAAAATGTTAAGATTTTTAAATCTCATACTGAACCTACCTTTTTTTTTTAAAGATAGTTTTAAAAGTATCTCTTTCTTAACTACTCCACCATCCTCTAATGTATCAAGACTACATCCTTAATTCTGCCTCTCTCCCATGTATGTAATTCAGGGAATTGAGATGTTTCACTATACATAGAATCTTTCCACCCTTGAATTCAGAACAAACTCCTCAGTCAATATTCCTTTCACAAGAACACTTTAATATTAATATTTACTAGTTCCTACCAGGAGTCAGGCACTGTTCTTATGTGGGAAGATAGTCAACAAGCAAGCAAATCAATAAAGACATGAAGGCAAGAACAGCATGAAACCCTTATTTAGATGTTTTGCCATTTCTCTTCTGTATGACAGATAACCATAACCATAACATATCTGTCATATAGGATAGAAATGGCAAAGCATCATGGCATCATGTGATTATGCAAAAAAGGGAACTTAAAAAGTCCCCATTTTTTCTTAATAAGACAAAATTTAGATCCCCTATCCAAAAAAGCAAGCTAAGATAGCCCTTAGTTCTAATAAAATAACACAGCCAATGGAAAAGTTAACTTCTTGTATGTAAGGTAAGTAGAGACACAATAATATTCATAAAAAGCTTCCAGGGAGTAAGCCAAACAATCCTGACAATCTCTCAGTAGTATTCACTGACCATGGCTGCCTCCCAGAAATGCTTTCCTTGGCTTTCTTCATTTTTGGTTTTTCTTCTTCCATCTCTCCAATTCCTCCTCCTGACTCCAAAGTGTCTTTCCTAGCCCTCTTTTGGTTTCTGTTCTCCCCAGGACAGAGTTCTCATAATCATTCCATAGCTTCAATTGTCAAATCTATAGAAAGGTAAGGAACTCTCTCCACTCCTAATAAACCAAGTATTTGACTTAATACCTCAAATTCAACTCTAGAAAACTAAACCTTAAATAAAGTTCCTGTTAAATGATGCAACCATCATTTCCATCCCCCAGGCTTTGAATCATCTATTTGCCCTATTCTCCTATATCATAAGCACTACTAAATGCTGTCAATTTCGCTTTCAAAACAAGAAGATATCAGGAGGTGAAGAATGAAGGGGGGGAAATCAGAGGGAGAGATGAACCATGAGAGACTATGGACTCTGAAAAACAAACTAAGGGTTCTAGAGGGGAGGGGGGTAGGAGGATGGGTTAGCCTGGTGATGGGCATTAAAGAGGACATGTTCTGCATGGAGCACTGGGTGTTATACGCAAACAATGCATCATGGAACACTATATCAAAAACTAATGATGTAATGTATGGTGATTAACATAAGATAATAATAAAAAAATAAATATACAGTAAAAAAAAAAAAAAACAACAACTCTTAATGTCTCTTAATCCCCTCCCATTCCAAGTACCCACATTCAGATCCTTATCATCTAAATCTCCTAAATGGCTAGCCTTCCCAGACAGGTGTTTTTCCAATAGGTTTGGCCGACAAGCACCAGCTTAGTCTTTTTAAAGCACTGTTTCAATCACATCCTTAACCTCCCAGGATTTTCTAAACAAACTCCAATACAACATAGCTTTAACGCTGGATTCTAAAATACATTTCTACTTTTACCTCACTATTGCCCTAAATCAACCCTACCTTTTAGCTAATCTGGCTCTATTTTCATTTTTCCTCCACATCAATGCCTTTGATCATTTTTTCTTCTTTGCCCTTGTATTGTTCCCTCTCATTTTTGAATACTAAAATTGTGCCCTTACTTTGAGATCCAGCTCAAGGGCTGATCCCTTACCTGACTGTCCTAGGGTAAAAGTAACCTCTACCTTCTGTACTTCCATAGAATTTCTCATAATATGACTCAGGTCATAGATACTACCCTATTTCCTTCCAGGTTAAGGGAAGAGTGGGAGCACTAACATTTATTGAAAATCCTCCAGAAGTCCAGCTTATTCTTCATAAAAAGTAAATCACATTTTCTTCTTCTTAATTTGCAGATGACAAAAGAGCTCAAAACGTGGACATTAATTATCTGTAGGGCTAGAATTTAAACTCATCTTTCATCCCTCAGAGCTAACGCCTTTCCTAGTGCTTGCCACCATAGTGGTCATTTATCACCTACTACCTGCTAAAGTACTATGCTAAGGGCCAGGAAAGTAAAAATAGAATCAAAATAGAAATAAAACAAAGACCATCTTTGTGTCCAAAGTATTCGACCTAGCTTATGGAAAGGAAGTTAAGCCCAACAACTTGTGTTCACCTTCTCTTGAATACAAACCATGAACTTACATGAGTTCTTAAGTTTCCTTCCAAACTCCCAACACTTCAGAAAGAAAGTCACATTCTAGTTTAGCAATCCCAAAGCCAGAGGAAACCTAACTTCGTACAGTACCTGACCTATATATAACAAGTCTGAATACGAGAAAAGTTCATTCTATCTAGTCTAGCTTTCATCATCCCTTAAGAGTTAAAAACCTGATCAGACAAGTCAAAGTCATTATCCCGAGGGCAGCAACTTTTTAAAGGACCGCCTAACAAGCTTCAGGATCCCTGACTGGCAGTAGCTATGGCGGAAGAGGGGGACTAGTAACTTCTGGAAGATATATACTCAACAGCGAGAAATAACTTTAAGGAAAAGCAATACCACCCCCAATGGCGGGAAATGGAGTAATCAGAAGACACAACACTGGGACTGAGTACCCCAAAGGTTGCTTCCCTGTGAACCGTTCCGAAGCCCGCCCGCTTCCTCGGCCGCAGCCTCCAGGAGACGGCCACGTGCATGAGAGCTAGCTGTAAGCGCGGTGTCTGAGCGGGAGGAGAGCTGAGACCGGGCTCCGGTAACAGACAGGCAACTTCGAAATTAGCAAAGCTCTCATCAGGGAGGTGGCCCCAGGGAAGGCGTGTAGAGCCGCAGGTGTAACCTGGATGAAAGCCCTCTCTACCTTGCAAACGGGGCCTGGGATACGGTCTCTCTCTTCCTCCTCCGCCTCTTCTGCCATGTCGCGCAGCTTAGCTGGCTGCTTGGCATCTTTTTCGTTCCTCTTTGTTTTTTTCGCCTGAACCGCCAAGCCTCCACGCCGCTTCCTCTTGGTCGCCGCCATCTTGCCTGACCGCCTTCGCTCTCGGCTTTCCTTCCGGCTCTGCCGCTCGCTCCCCTTTCCGATCTCTATGGTACCGAGCGCTCGGCTCTGCAGTCCCCCGGCTCGATGGTACCTTTTTCCGGTTTCTGGTGACGCACGCGCAGCTCTCTAAGCCGCCTCTGTCTCTGAGGTGACGGTGGCCGAGGTGGCTGCGTGGTCTGCAAAGAGTGGCGGGAGCGGCTGCATTTCCTCCCCAGTTACCCGGGAGGCGCGGCCCGGCTTCTTCGGTGACCTGGCTGCGAAGGGCTCTCGGGCGTCGGATCCCGCCGGAAAGGTAAGGTTTCCGCGCCCCGGATCCCGGGGCCAGTAGATAGATGCCGCCTCTCGACGGGTTGGTGAATGGGGTTGTGTGGGACTCGAGGATCTTTCGAGGAATGGGGGCCCGCCCTCCATCGCCTGTTCTGTTAGGGTTAAGTTTGGGGGCACCGGACAGCGCAAACCCGACTCTGCGGGGACACGTAGTCCCAGTTTGGGGGGACTGGCCCTCCGTAGAACTACCGTGTTAGTTGCCTGTTTTCATTGTTCACAATTTTTCTTGTATTACTAGCCTCTTACTAAAGACGAGGAAATCGTAGCTTAGAGTGAAGAGTAATTTCCCCCCCAAGTGAGAGAGTTGAAGTGGCAGAAGTGGGGTGCAACCCCTGTCCGGCGGAGTTCGATGCCCAGGCGTCTTCCATTCGCCTCAGCGCAGGTTGACATCGCAGGCCTTGCCAGCTTTGATCCGGAGTTTTATTGTCGAATCTCATCAGGTGTTTGGTGATTCTCGGCAGCAAGCGTTGGCACCGGGAGCACCCCTTGGGACCAAATGTGCAGTGGACGATGCCCCTCCTAACCCCACAGATCCAAGACGAGAATGACTACAGCTTAGTGGCCAGCCTTGACAACGTCAGGAATCTCTCCACTATCTTGAAGGCTATTCATTTCCGAGAACATGCTACGTGTTTCGCTACTAAAAATGGAATCAAGGTTACAGTTGAAAATGCAAAGTGTGTGCAAGCAAATGCTTTTATTCAGGTATGGAAATAGGCATCTTTTAAGTGATTTGCCAACAGTCCCGCAGTTGACAAGTGGCTGAGTTGGGATGAGAACCCAAACATTGTTTCCAGAGTATATGCTCTTGGCCAATACTTCCCTTTTCCCTTTTATTGGTTATAATCTGTCATTACAAAGTAATATATGTATGGTTCAGAGAGGATTTCAGACTTAATCCAACTTTTTTTTTAAAGATTTTATTTATTTGACAGAGCACAAGCCGGGGGAGCGGCAGGCAGAGGGAGAAGCAGGCTCCCCACTGAGCAGGGAGCCCAATGCCATGGGGGGCTCAATCCCAGGACTCTGGGATCATGACCTGAACCGAAGGCAGATGCTTATCCAACAGCCACCCAGGCACCCCTAATCCAACATTTTTTTGAACACCAAAGTGCACAGTGTGACCTCAGGTATAGAGGGATAGATAAGACATGGTTCCTGTCCTCAAAAGAAATTGAAAACTAGTATCACTCATGCATTATCAAATTGTTTGGCTATTTTCCAAATGACTTTAGCCCTGTCGATGGGCAAAAAAATGAGACAAGGGAAAGTCATGTGGGCGATAGTTTAGATCAAGAAGCTAGATGAAAGACCTTTCATAAAGTTTTGCATGGTGCTGAAATCAGACCTTTAAATGCTGAGTAGTAGTATTCTAATGGATAATAGTTGAAAAAGCTTAAGATGTTTTGATTGGTAATCAGAAATTATTTTTATGGGGTTAGCACAATATCGTTATTTTTAAAACATATAAAGTGAAATCTCGAACCTTGTATGTGAGTTTTCATTAATATATATATACATTTTCATGTTTACTTTTTTTCACAGGCTGGAATATTTCAAGAGTTTATAGTTCAGGAAGAGTCTGTTACTTTTCGAATAAATTTAACTGTCCTTTTAGACTGTTTATCTATTTTTGGGTCAAGTCCTATGCCAGGTGAGCCATTTTATTATGACACAAAAGCATTATACAGAAAAATACAGGAAAAGTTATTAGAAGTAAGAAACATATCTTGGAAATTGCAAATTCATTTTTCACTGGTCACAATCATAGATTCTAACTTTTCACATTAATAGAAAGTGTACTATGGTTCTTTCCGTATTTGCAAAAGTATTTATATTAATCTTTTTTTAATTTACAAAGTTTTGGGGATTTTAAATTTGAACTGGCCAAGAGAAGACTTTGAATATGTGTTAGCTTTAACATTGCAAAATATGTATTAAATGCTTCCTTTCCCTAACTTGTTCAGAATTACAGTTTAGTGGCCAAGAAAAACAGAAACCAATTCTCCTCACACTTAGTTTACTGTGTTCAAAATGTGCTTGCTTTTATTTAAGTCCTGTTTATAAATTGCCTATTTCCTGAAATGTTTAATTTTAAAATATATATTTTATTTTTTTAGGAATAGTGAATTCAATTGCTATGGATATAAAATTATAAGGAATCCCCTGAAGAATGATTTCATTTCACAGGAATCTAGAGATTAGCTAGGGAAAGTTCAGCTGTAGTTCTTTAGAAAATATATTTTAATTTTGTACTGACAATTCCATTATTATTATACATTTTTCTAATGCAGCATTCCCTAGCTGGTTTTTCATAAAACATCTGCCTTCCCCCATTCCTCACTGTGGCTCTCCATCCAGCAAGAGAAAGCAGATAGAATGTCTAGTCATATTCCTCCTCCTCTCTAGGGGTTTGTAGTGTTAAAACCCACACCACCATGAACCACCCTCTCTTTTCTCCCAATTTGATCTTACAGTTTGAGGAAATGTAAATAATATCTCGCAATAGGAAAGGTTGGAAGGATCCTTATCACAGCGAATACACGGACATTATCATACAGACCGTATCAAAGCAGTCCACCGTTGCATACACTGCACCTCTGAGAAAGAGCATAGCCTATTCTCTAGTAATTCTGTTACTTGCAGTATTGGCCCATGTAGATTCTCCATCCTGAAAACTGTAGATATATAAAATCAATAAGCTATTTCTGAGGTGTTTTTGGCAAGCTGGAAAATGATTTCAAAGAGTTACAGTTTGTTCTCATTGCCAGTTTTATTAGTTATTGTTTGAATTGTCTATGCGTAACTTATCAGGGAAAATATACCTTTTTATAAAAAGATGCATACATATGTGTTAGAAATTGGGCAGAATAAAATAATCTTCAGGAATTTAAGTATCATTTAAGGAGAAGCGGAACCTGCATTATAAAGCTAAGCCCAACATGTGATTTATTTCCATTGCAGGGACTTTAACTGCACTTCGGATGTGTTACCAAGGTTATGGTTACCCTTTGATGCTATTTCTGGAAGAAGGAGGAGTGGTGACAGTCTGTAAAATCAATACTCAGGAACCCGAGGAGACTCTGGATTTTGATTTCTGCAGCACCAATGTTATCAATAAAATTATTCTGCAGTCAGAGGGGCTCCGTGAAGCATTTTCCGAATTGGATATGACAAGTGAAGTGCTACAGATCACCATGTCTCCCGACAAGCCTTATTTCAGGTACTTGAACTCAGGGCAATTATAATTAATACTGTAATCTACTCTTATCTCCCTCCTTACACATTTGCTTAGGATGCAGAACTTTTATTATCCAGGTTCCTAGAATTTTCAGATCTTTAGAGAGCTTTTACTCTTATTTCATACTTCTATAGATTGGGAAACCTGTGGTCCAGGAAGATGAACTCAGTATTTAAAGTTTCATAGTTAGGTAGTGTTGGTTTGTAGGTGAATAGCCCTGTCTCCTACTTTATAAACTAATGGTCTTTTCATTGTACTACTTACTGGTGTAGCTCAAGTTACATCACGAGGAAAATTTGGGCTTAAACTTTTGGCAAAGGTGTTTACATCATATGGTATCTCTTCTTCTTTCCTTTCAAGTTAGTATAGGATGCAAAAGGAAACAGATGTTTTCTATACATGGTTCATTCATTAAGTATCTATTAGTCACCTACTGTGTGCCTATCTACCTTTTTAAGCACTTTGGAAGGGAATGGCTTAAAGTCAAGGTGAAGAGAAAAATATGTGAAACAGCCTCGAAGGAACAGAATTGCATGCCACTAAGTACCAAAATACAGAGACACTTAGAGAACAGTACCTGAGTACTTATGGGGGATTGATCGAGGCAAGCTTCCTAAGGGAGGGCAATTTTCAGGAGGAATACAATGTCAAAAACTCTCAAGCTGCTCCTGATGTTTTGAACCAACAAATTATGAAATTTTCAGGATTAGAATCAATTTGGAGAGAGGATTTAAATAGTTCTTCTCTTTTTAATTACATCAGAATATTAAAAAGTAAAGGAACTAAAAATACATAAGGAATGAGAGGTATGTTGTTCTTTTTACATCTACTCTAGAAAAATTGCAGGCCCTTATCATGACATGGAGCAGTTAAAAATTTGACTCAAGATTGGTTAAAATATTAACTAAAATGGAAATGCTACCTAAGCAGTGATAAGAATTAAAATCTGGGCACTTAAACAGTGTATTTCAGAGGATCCCCACCTAAGTGATGTCTCTCAGCATAGGTAACTAGATAGATCGTGGTATCTTTCATCTCCTGTATGGGAAATGATTTGGTGGTGGGAAACTAGGAGTTGAAATTTTTTTCCAGATGTGTCAAATTTGAGGTGCCCCTGAAACTAGGGAGTATTGGACATATGGAGTTCAGGACATCAGTCTAGAATGGAAATTTAGATTTTGGAGTCATCATAATGGCTGGGTATGGACAAGATGGCTCAGAGAGAAAGAGCTTACTTTAGAGGAGAGAAAAGATGGAACCTGAGGAAGACTAGCACCTAGGTCTTCTATCACTGTGCTTACACAGTACTTACCAATGTGGTAACCCCATAGCAAATGATCAATAAATTCTTGCAGATTAAACAAACATACAAACATTTACAAATTGCTAAACACACAAACTGCTGACACTGCCAAGCAAGGAAAACCGTGAAACCGCCTAAAGAGTAGTCTGACTAAGATACAGAAGAGCCAGAATTCCGGGGTGTG